AAAGAAAGAAAGAAAGAAAGAAAGAAAGAAAGAAAGAAAGAAAGAAAGAAAGGAAGGAAGGAAGGAAGGAAGGAAGAAAGGAAGAAAGAAAGAGAAAGAAAGAAAGAAAGAAAGGGGAGGCCGGCCCCATAGCCTGGTGGTTAAAGGACCCAGATGTTGCTGACCATAGTTCAAACCCCACATCCTGACAGGATGGTGAAACGGAGGACCTGTGGTGTGGTCATACTGCATTTTGGGGTGCTTGCTCCCTCCCCCACCCCCACCCCCCCGCCGTCTCTCTGGCTCTCTCCGGCCAGTGGATGCACCTTCTGGCAACTGAAAAAATAAAAAGGGAATAGGGCATTCTTCTGGGGCTGGATTTTTAAGAGGTTTTTTTTTTGTTGTTTTTTTGTTTGTTGTTATTGGTTTTTTTTTTCCTTTTTTTTCTTGGCTATAGGGCACATGCGCTCACCAGAGAGACAGACAGAAAGTGAGAAATCATCACCCAGAGGGGATGGCCATGCCATAACCCCTTTTCCTCCATTCTCCTTTGGGGATTTTGGGCAAGCACGCACACATGCCCAGTGTGAGTTCTAAGCCGCCAGGTCCAGGACTTGAACTATGGTTGACTACAGTTGACTCCAGTGATATAACCTTTACGTCATCTGCTGGCCCTGACACTGTATTCTAATATTTCGGGTTCAGGCTGACATGGATGTCAAGGATTCGGCTGGAGAGTGCACACAGACATCGGTTCTTCCCAGCCTTTATCTGTAGAGTGACCCGAAGTCACTACGACATTTCCTAAAAGGCTGCCAATTCGGGGTGCAGTCCTCCAGGTCAGAGAGGAATGATCGTGACTCCTGGGTCAACACCTCTTAGGGAGCCCACTCCTGCACTCTGCTCACCAGGGATGCTGGGAAGTTTGCTCATGGATGGAGGTCAGCCACTTCCCTCTTCACTTGAGACCTAACACACACCTAGACTTCATTTTAAAGAGAGGTCTATGGGACCAGCAGTTGGTGTAGTGGCTATGTCGCTGGACTCCCATGTAGTCAACTGCGGTTCAAGTCCCAGACCCGGTGGCTTAAACTCACGCAGGGCGCGAGTGTGTGCATGCCCAAGATCCAGAGAGGAGAGTGGAGGAGAGCGGCGTGGCCAATCACCCCCCTGGAGGGTGATTTCTCGCTCTCTGTCTCTCTCTGTCTTTCTGGCGAGCACATAGCAAGAACCTCTCAAAAAAAAAAAAATCTCTAATAAACAACAAACACTAGAACAACTACCAAGAGATGGCCCCTATAGAATCAGCTTGTCACTCAAAGTCCTTACATGTGAGACTGACTCTTATCCAAGAGACGGTGTGGCTGGATTTGCCTCCAGGGAAGACGGTGGGGAAGATCTCTGGGGGCCCGCGGTCCTGAAGGAAAGTCCTACTCTTGCTGGGTATGGCCTGCCCTGTGGTTTCTGCCCGGGTCCCCTCTCGCTGTCCTGGGTGCTTGGATGAGATACGTGGGGGATATCCCTTCCCGTACCAAGACACGGCCATGCCGGCGGGCCGGGAGATGCCCCACAGGCCTGGTAGGCAGGGCTGCCTGTGGGAGCTGTCCGAAGCGTGACAGGTGCTCGTGCCAGGTTCCAAGCTGGGCAGCCCCTCTGGCCCTGGTTGCCTGCAGGGAGGCCCCTGACACTCAGAGACCTATGGGGTGTAGGGCCTTGTTTCTCTAGGATAAACCTGTAGGTTGAGTTCTTTCCTCCCTACTCTGGGAGGGCTTGGATTTGTCATGACTGACGACAGCAGTCACGACAGGGCCTTTGGGAGGTGGGAAGACACTCGGCCTGGTCACACTCATGTGGACACGCACACTGGACCTCCCCTCTGCCGAGCACTCCTGACAAGGACGTCCGCCCTGCCCTCAGGCTCCTACTCAGCCGCCTTCGGACCCTTACGCCTCCATGCACATGTTCACAGCAGCCCAGCCGCAGGCCGACAGGTGGGCCCAGCATCCTCAGGGACGGCCGGGCCCTTACATTCCACATAAGGGAGGGAAACCTACCTTCGCTGGCCACCAAGCCCTAGGCAAGTTATGTTCACACGTCCTGCCTCCCCACTATAAACCCACGAAGTACTGCTGCTAGCCCCATTTCAGAGCCCCATTTCAAGCTTTCTCCCAGGCAGTTCCACCTTTCCAGCAAAGGGGTGGAGAAATTAAGCCACTTCACAAAGGCTAAGCTAGGGTTCGAACCCATGTCTCTTTGACTCCAGAGCTCATTTGTCCCATGATGCCTTGCTGCTCCCTTCTTCTGTACATGCACATCGTCCTTGGGGAGAGGCCTAGGAGTCCGAGACGCGCTGTGACCTCACGGTGACTAACCGGGAGGAAGTGGGAAGGCGTGGGGAGGAGAGAAGCCGTGGCTGTGTGGGAGCAGTCTGAGCTGGCACAGTGGGGCTGGCAGGCAGGGAGCGAGGAGGGGCCGCTGCCCAAGGAAGCGCCGTGGGGAGGCCCCGCGCCAGTTAGTACAGCAGGGGGTCGCAGGCAGGTACTGGGCGAGCAGCAGCTGTGGATGTATGAGCAAGGAACGTTGGCTCATCAGGAAGTCCCCGTGCGGAGCCCCAGGAAGGCAGCTGAAGCCTATTTGGAGGGTAATGGTGGGGAGCTCGAGGGACCCAGAAGCAAGGCCATCTCAGTCCCCAGGACAGAAAGACAGTTGAGAGGCAACAGGCCAGGCCAAG